CTACAGCTGTTATGTTCCACCTCATTTTAATGGTAGCTGAGTGATCTGTTTAAGAACATTTCTAAAAATGCTTTAGGATCTTTCTGGAGGAAAGCTAAAGTATTAAAATGTGTTCCATTATTTCAGTAAAATTATTGATTTTTGGCAGGACACATGGATGGCATAGTGCTTATATGGCTCTTCAGGTATAGTGCAAACAACCTTTAACTATTTAATGAAAAGAAAGAGTGTAGTCCAGTAACTTTCAGGTAAAGGTAGCAATGCAGTGGGTTAAAATGTAGTTTGGACAAAGAGGGTGCCTGTAGATGTGCGGGGACGCTGCTACAACACGCTATAATTACAGTGCATTGGAGCAGACTCCATTAATCGAGTCTGCTGGAATGTGCTAATTGTTTCTCTCCAGCAACCTCTGCGTAGCATGTATTCAGCATCCTCACGCTTCAAAATGGTGGCGAACTTTAGTTAAAGCCCCCTCACCACCATTTTGAAGCCCGGGATCCTATGATCCCAGCTGAGTTCCCGCCCTTTGGGCAGGGGGCTGGACTCCACGATCTTCCAAGGTCCCTTCCAGCCCTAATGTCTATGAAATCCATGAAATACACGAGACGTTGTGGGGGCTTTAACCTCCAGAGCACATTTAAAGACGCCCAGTGTTATTTGGATATGATTAAGCCATTAAAATAATGGACTTGGTTTGTATGCACAAGTTCACTGCAACATACCGATTTTGTAGGAAAAAAAATTGATAATCTGGCCTTGTTACCATAAAGGGATGCTTTCCCCAGTTGATCATGCAGAGGGAGTCACTCCTATTTTAGAGCCAAACAGATATTTGGTATGCTTTTAGAGCTTGCAACCCAAACCAAACTACTCAAAAACGGTCTCAGAAGCCAGCAGCCAAAAATTAAAAGCATCAACATTAAAGCAGATACCTGTGCAGTGGCACAATGCAAACTATTCCCAGTACAGGCCAATAAAAATTAATCCAGGATCACTGGCTGAAATCCCTCTACTGAGTATAACTTGACTTGCTTATTAACACATATCTCGTAACAACCATCCTGCCCTCTGGGCAGGTCAGCAAGCGCTATTGATCCTCTTTATCAAAGGCAATACATGTACAGCAATGCAAACAACCTTCAAAAACTCCCTTGTCTTAAACCATATGCTGTTTTAGTCAGAGCAGTAAATATCCTGCCCCCTCCCAGTATCATGCTTAGGCAGCTTAGAGGGGTATTGTGCTGGGTGTGATAAATTTTCGTGACAGTTCTGCAAGGCTAATTTAACCACGTCAGTAAAAGATCTACCTCAATACAGTTGTGATAAGCAGCTTGCAGAAAATTACTTCTGGTTCAGTTAAACTATATAGCATTCATCTGCTAACCAGCTTCAACACTTTGGCTGTTTTGTAAGTGATTGCATTTCCTGTTGTTTTATTAAATATAACAGCTCAAGATCTAAATTAATAATCAGGGTTCAGGGCATACCTCTAAATATAAAAAAAGCATCAGAGATCAACTTTTTTTTCAATTTACAGTTGCAGTTGTAAAACTTCAGCAGTACCTTTTGCACTTATAGTTGTTTGGTATAATTGTGTGACTAGTTAATGGTTACAAAATACTGGTAATAGCTGAGACATCCAAACTTAATTACCTTTTACCAATTAGATTATTGTAAGTACATAGTGCATCATTGGTTCAGCGTATATTTATTTATGCCATTAACCTGTTTGGTTTTTTAAACCCAACTCTGGGAGCATCGTGTTTTTTTTCTCTCTCTCTCATCTGAGTAGAGCATGTGTTTTTGCTGTATATGGCTCTGCATTGTGAGGTCATTTTGGAAACATAAATTATGAAATAGATCACTTTTACTTTGTATAGTGTCAGTATGTTGTTACATCTTCTGATATTTTGATTAGACTACAAAGACTTTTCCAGTTGATGGTCCTACTAAAAGCATAATATAGCAATGTGGATTTTTTAATTTATTAGTTCTCTGAAAATGAGACTGACAAAATATGTTGGGTCTTTTCTTTCATGAACAGGTAAAGGATATTTTGTTTCAGTTGCATAGACACATGTTCCTAATCTATAAAATAAATGTCTGTAACTGATTTTCAGAGTTACTAGTATATGTTCACTAGCTTTTACTAGTGTACAGAGTAGTAGGTAAACATGTTACTAACATTTTACTTAAACTTGCTGGAGAGCTGGATGTGTTTCGTGTCAGGTAAAGATGAGCTCAGAACAGAAATGGGAATGTCTAAATCTGTTTTTTATTTTTAACTCCTATTAGTTTCCAGCAGAATATAACTGCCAGTACATGCATACTATAAATAGGAACATTTGCAGAAGAAATTCAGACATGCCTTTTAACTCCCTTAAAATTCAGTGGCCAAGGGAAACTTAAAATATTCTGCTAAAATACATTGACTGTCCCTTTAGAAATAGGAGACAGTTATTGTGTGAACTTACGTTTCTTATATAATGTATACTTACAACTTCAGTTTTAGTTGCAGATTTTTCTGTATTGCTCATCATTTCTTTCAGATTAGTGCAGATACAGTTTGAGCTTGCAGTAAAATGGTGTGCAGCATCACAAGGACATGAGATACTGATCAGTCTCTGACCAGTTATGTTCCCTAAAAAGCTCTTGAGAGTTCTCTGAAAAACCCATGCAACTACAAACTCTTGTGAAACAAAAATTGCTTGATTGCTGCGGTCCGTTGCCTAATCTCTTTTGTTCCTTAATTTGTAGAATTAATTTGAAGCGTAAAAATAATCTTTTTTTTTTTTTTTTTTAAAGACAAAGTATTGTCAGTTTTTTGCTATTACAGTGTCACAGACTTTTCCAGACATATGGATCCTATGTGAATCAGCCTGCACATGCTAAGGTCAAACAGTGGTAACATCTCTCTGGGTTGTGTTGGAACAAGACAGTGGTTTTCTTTTGCTGTATGTTTTTTCCCTGTGTCTATTTAGAGAGAGAAATAGTTACAGTCATGCAAGCAAATACAATATAGTAACTATAATCCATGTAGGAACAAAAAATGCAAATGAGATTTGCAGGGTGGGGACACTGTCTTGGAAAACAGTACTTTTGAAAAAGACTTCAAAGTTGCATTGGATGAGAACTCAAAATACGACCCTGGCTAAAGTGATCCCTGGCTAAACAAACGAGGATATCAAATAGTAGGGAGACTGTATTTTGTATTTGGCACTCATGTAACTGTTTCTGGAATGGTGCATCTACTTATGAGTCCACACTTCAAACAAGAAGTTGAAAAATTGGAGAAAGTTTAAAGAACTGTGAGAGTGATTAGAAGACTGAAAAGCATATCTGATTATGAGAGATTAGGAATGCAAGGAGAAATTAAGGGATGAGTTGGTCAGTCTTGAAAGTATCTAGATGGGGAGCAGTCTAGCAGCAATGGCATAGCCAGATCCAGTGGCAGAAAGCAGAAGCTAGACAAATTCAAACTAGAAATAAAATGTACATTTTTATCAGCATGTAAAACTAATCAGGTCATGCCTAAGGACCCTGCTTGGGTCACTGCACCCATTTATTAAGAACATTTATCTGATTAGAGACTGTGTCCTCCAGAAGAGGCGCAAAAGGCCCCTTAGAAGCATTTCTGATTCTTGCTTTGCAAAATCATTCTGTGCCGTGTAATTAAGAGCACATCTTTTTGTAGATGCAGAAAAACTCCCATCTGCTTGGCTCTTGCGCCAAGAAAAAAAATAAGACAACTGAACACTTTACAGAGAAGTAGTGTGTGCATGTTATGTTTAGATGCTCAGACTTCTGTAAGACATTGGTTCTGAACCCTTTTTCTCAGGCTCCCTTCATGCTGCCATTCTGCCATCTCCTTACTGCTCCAGCACCCATCACATCATGTTCTGCTGCATTTACTACTGCATTTACTACTGTTATTTTTCATCTCTTCACTGTCTTTATGGTATCTCCTTTATGCTTATTTTAAGTGTGTGTGTGTGTGTGTGTGTGTGTGTGTGTGTGTGTGTGTGTGTGTG